GAAAAGTCACCATTACATGCTGCGATTGAGAGGAACAATTTTGAAATTGTAGCAGCTTTACTAGACGCTGAAGCTGATCCTAATATTACTGGTGAAAAATTTAAAGTATCACCTCTACACTATGCATGCATCTATGGTAGTGATGACATAGTCCACTTACTTCTCAAAGCTAGTGCCAATCCTAATGCTGTCACTACTGAAGGTCTTGCCCCATTGGCTATTGCTGCTGAAAAAGGTCGTATCAAAGTAGTTGAGATGTTACTATCAGAAGGAGCTGATATTGAGGTTGCAGATTTTTGTGGCTGGACACCAATATTCTATGCTGCTGCAGCAGGTCAACTGGATATGATCAGACTTTTACTGCAACATGGAGCCAAAATCAAGAAAGATAAATTTGGTGAGCCTATTGAAAGTATAGCAGCAAAAGTAGGAAGAATCAAAATCAAAAGTTTACTTCAAGAGGCAACCAAACAGCGATCAGAAAAGAAAGATGAGGCAGCAGTTAGCAAGGAACAGGAAAGAAAAGATGAACCCAAGGAAGTAACAAGTAGTGCTCCTACTATACCAGTTGAAGTAACAAGTACTGCTCTTACTACGCCAGTTGAAGTAGACACAGAATCATCAGAGGAAACAACCAAACCATCTCCACTCATCAATGAAGATGATCAACAATCAACTGATAATAGTTTCTCTCACTATCAAAAAATCCGCATCTTCATATCATCAAGTATTGGATCAATAAAGCAACAATATTATGATAACACAATAAAGCGGCTTAAACATCAAATGGAAGCAATGGAATCTACTATAGCAGAACAATTAAAATTACTTTCTATATCTTAATATGCATGCACTCTATGCACTATTTTCATTTTTGTGTATTTTTCTTACAGCTACCAATATAATTTTTATGTTCATACTAGCCAATAAATTATTATTTTACTAAAAAACTGATTTTCTAACAAGTCACACGATACAAATAAAGAGAAAGAGGAGGAGGAGATATAAAGAGAATGAAGTAAAATAATCCAATGTCATATAAAGGACCTGTAGGTAGCCATCACTAGTGTATAATACCATTCACTGCAGTCCACTGCTGAGGAGGAGGGCGGGGTCCCTTGGGCTTACCAACACGAACACCAAAACCTAAAAATAAAAAGTGAAAATAAATAAATAAATAAATTATAGTAACGTGTACCATAGTTCCCAGAGAATGAGTATTTATTATTAGCCGACTCAGCAATATTAGACCTTGGAGCTTTCCTTGGTGACACACTACTGCTCTTGCTGCTACTTGGAATACTAGTATCATCTGAAAACCTCTCCTAGAGGAAGAGAGAGAAAAAAGATAATATATGAGGAGTATGTCTAGGTGTGTCCATACTTTCTTTGGTTTATTAGTTAAGTCAGTGTTCCTCATTGTTGCTACAGAGAAGGCAGTTGATGAAGAAGTTGGTGAAATGTGATGATGAGAAGAAGGCAGTAGGGAAGAAGGAGAAGAAGTACGATTCATTGGTACTGGTGGTAGAGGAGCTAGAGAGAGAAAGGTATATGTAACTTAACTAAAACAGTCAACAAATCCAATATAAATGTAAATAAAATGCAAATTAAATACATGTACATTTACATGTATGTGTGAAGTTGTGAACTGTGAATGTACATTATACAAGCTCAACTATTGTTTTTACATGCCTGCGAATTGTGAAACTATTAATAATAATAATAATAATCATGTGATAACAATAATATTTATTATAATTACACATACGTGGCAATTCAGCACTTTCATATAAAGGAGGGGGTACGTTCATAACTTCAAGTGCTTCTGATGTCCTTTCCGGTATTGCTGGAGGAACATCAGTAGCTCCTAACGAAGCATAAGTATAATCACCACCAGGTTTAGATTCCTCTCTTGATACTTCAACAAGATCATCAGGTTGGAGCCCCACCTCATTTATTAACTATTAATAAGTAGTGGTTATTAATGGTTATTAGTAGTTATTAAGAGTTATTAACTTACAGTTTCAAGTATGCTGCTCTTACTAACAGATTTATCTGGAGTGTTGCTAACAGAACTGACAGAAGAAGGTGTACTGTGTAGTGGCTTGCTAGGAGTGCTGGTACGAGGTAGAGCAGTAGGAGCCTGGGGTACCTGAGGATCATCAGTAGG